AAACTACTTTGAACACAGATTATAAGATTATTTTGAGAATTCTGGTAAAGCGCCTCAAGCCGATCCTGGATAATATTATAGGCAAAACGCAAAAAATGCTCGCTTTCCCTTAGAGCATCGAAGACGTGCACTATAATACGGACGCGATCATAAGACACTGCAAAATGAACCATATTCCAGGAACATTAATTCTAATTGATAATTTAAAAGCTTTCGACAGGGTCAACCATGGTTTTATGTTTAACATTCTACAAAATATTGGAATTGGAAATAGGGTCTCTAATATGTTAAAAAGCATGTACACCGGAATCAGTAGCAAGGTGGATGTAAAAGGTAGGCTATCAAATGAAATAATAATCCGAAGAGAAATTAGGCAAGGCTGTCCGATCAGCATGATGCTGTACGATCTAAACACTGAGCCATTTGCCAGATCGGTTTTATCGAATTACAACATCCGCAGCATAAAATTAGGATCGTTCGAGCACAAGATCGACCAATACGCGGACGATGTCACATTCACGATTCGCGATCAAACATCAATTAGCGAAATCTTTAATGAACTACACCGATTCGAAACTGCAACTGGACAAAAAACAAACATCGAAAAAACAGGAATACTTTGCCTCACAAGAACCTCTCATAAATTTATCTTCAACTAACCTTACCGAATTATATAAAGAAAAACACCAAGATCCTCGGCATACATTTTGGAGAAATAGGGCTAGACAAAATGTGGAATGAAATCGTAAACAAATTAATTCGGACCCTCAATTATATAAAATTACGTCGCCTAACCTGGTATGGTAAACAAATAGTCATAAATTCGATATTAATTAATGTCAGTTATAATATTCCACGCCAGAGTCAAAATAATCCCACAAAAAACTCTCAACAAAATTCAAACGGCATGCTTTAAATTTGGTAATATGGTATCCCGAAAAAATTGAAGCGATCAGCAGAAAAAATCTTCAAAAACGATTAAAAGTCGGTGGAATTAACATGATCGACCTCCACGCGAAAGTGAGGGCATGCCATGTGGGGAGAATGAGAACGCTGGCACTCGGAAGACCAATAACCCAATTCTGGCAATATGAGGCCCTCTGTGCCTTGGGGTCTAAAATCAGAATTGTTAACAGCGAACTATATACCAATTCCATGCCCCACAGTAATGATGTCCGGCCTAACTGGGCAAATATCTTAGACATTTTCAAGCAAATAAACTTTACGCGAGCGGAGTGAGAAACAGCAAGACATAAGGATATATACGGAAAACTGAAGACCGTAAACACCAACCAGAAACGGCAGGATATAAACTGGGAACAGGTCCATCTGCGCACAAATGCCTTCAGATCCCATTTCACGAATGTTGAGAGGATATATTCATACCGGATTGCCAGAGAAGGGTACCTATGTGGGGACCGTTCAAGAATATGGGGATTAGATATAAACCATCTGACGCTCTCAAGCTGTTAAATTGCAAATTCTGCAAAGCAACAACAGACGGCGCTAACCATGTTGTATACCACTGCAGCAAAGTCTCAACCTACATCATGGCGATTCTGCAAGTTTTAAATGATGTGAGTGGTAAATGTATTGCTATAACCGGAAACGAAATAATGTATAACACCTACAATGGATCACAACAAATATTCGTGACTAATCCTCTCGTTATACTGAAATACAACATCATGAAAAAGGAAATCAATTTGGATATATTGGACAAATACTTGGACCCCAACGAAGATGGTATAGTGGAAACACCAATAGAAAACCTTCTAGATTACCTCTCTTGAAAGGAAGTCTCCCAAAATCGCCCCCCATAAACGGGAGCATAAACGAGTCTATACCATCTTCAAACCCACACGGAAATGATGAATCGGAAGCTTCACGGTAGATGTCATGCTGTGTGCGTATAACACGTTTTCACATAGTGTGTACGGAGGCCGGGTCGGCTGAAGTTGAGCTATGCTATGCATGGCATTGACGGAAGCCCCGGGAGAACGTTGTGCTGCGGCGTACAGCATGTACCAACCCCCGGAGTGGAAGTCTGTGCCATGCTATGGCGCAGCTAAGACCGGAGTCTCCCTATTTGTAAGACTGCAGCTTACGCAGTGGCGTGCTTATGAAGCGTTATACCGATAAAGACTCTGATATGACGTGTCTTTTAGGCACTGATCCGAAACTGGGAAAATTCTGATCCGTAAAATAAAAAAAAAAGACTCAGACAGGGAATCAATAACATTAACTCCCTTATAATGACTCGTTATTGGTTTAATATGTATTTTCAGTCATACATACCATCCCTGGCGCTGTGATGTTTTATCAAATAAGATTTCGACTGCACCATACTTGGCAGAGGTATCGAAATTTTTTAAACGTGTAAAGAAGGAGATAAATTAATGGTAATTTTCACGCGTAGCATCGCACATTAGAATGTTTACGTCTTTCTACGCGCATTTCCGTCGAAAAAAGTAACATTTTTTGCATTGAGGGGGGCGGGTGCACTAATAATTAAAGGTGTGACGTCATCAAAATTGTTGTCAATTGAAGCCTTGAACTTGAAAATTCTGTAAATACAATCGTGAATTTTAGAGTAACCATTCCTGCTATAATAGTGATTTTGGTGTTGTTCAGGTGGAAAATAACACAAGAAAACGTTGAAATAAAAAATAATTTATTAGGAATAGTTATTAACCCTCTACTAGACACAAAATCTCGCAAGTTCAATATAAATTTTGGCGTAAAAATTTTTTTTTTAGAGGAGTGCGTTTTACATATATTGCTGAATAGAGCTCTATCACACGTTATTAAAAAGCCATGAGTGAAGCTTTAGGGCCTGATGGTTGACAAAAAAATAACTCATGTAAAATGGCACCAGACCGACCGGCTGGGCAGGGTGAATGTACTATAATATAGCTTCCTGACACATTGCTGAAATAATGTGCATCATCCTGATCATCTCCACCTCCCCTTATTTAAATTTTTATTAGCTCAAAAAAGTCGTTAACAAAGGCCTGTGATTTTACAAGTTAATTTATCTAGCATCGACGATTGTTTCCCTCTTCGTGAGATGATGATTCAGGAAACGAATATTGGTATTTTGCCGTTTAAGAATGGACCATGATATAGCTTTTAAGTTATCAATCAAATTATAGTGATTTAAAGCATCTCAACTAGAGTTTTGTTTCACCTACCGAAGGCTCATCAAAGTTTATGGTGTTATTCGTTTATTTTTGGTCATTTATAACACCGTATTTCAGTCGTAATATTTTTTCCATCATTTTTAGTCGGAAATGTGAGTTTCAGATTCACTCCTTTAATTACCGTTACGTCGACAATGATCGCATAATAGTAATTGAAGTAATGTGCCCTTATTTTATAAGTGGACTCAACCACGACCTAAGATAAACACAATTATAGAAATATAGAAATACGTTTTGAATGTTGGCATTACTCAAATGTCGGCAATGGCGTGATCGCGACGCCTGTTTCAGAAGCTGTTGGACGTGTAATACCGATTTCGAACTACGCGGGAGAACAGAAATATTTGCGTCTTCGCATGTTATGCGCACATCAAAAATTACGATTAACCAAAATTGAGGAATACTTACATAATGCTACATCGAATATTGTGCTATACGAAAACGATAAGAACATCCCTGGTCACTAAGTTTTAAATATATATTCATGAGATAAAAAAAAAATATCGTAATTTATTTGCAACAGTGACTTCAAAAAATACCAACGCAAAATACTAGAGGTCGCGGCAATATCACGATTATCGCAAATTTTGAAAGGTAACTTCATTTTAATAATTGTCATGCCTTTATATTTTTATCAGCAGTAGCATGATAACCACTGGCATATTCATATCACCCTGGCTACGGTAAAATATTTTATAGTGCCTCAGTTGTTTTTTATATGACGCATACTCGTGTCTTTCGCTTCTAACAAGGCTCTGTACAAGCGGCCACTGACATCCAACAGTAGGTAAGAAGATACTATTTTTAGAAAAACAAGAATCCACCCAATTCGTTACACCCTCGGTGAGATGGTGGTCATGGGATTTTGAACTGGATTTGTGAAACTTGTGATGGTTAAAACCCTGTCTAGCCTATTATCCTGGGGCCATTTCGTATGGTCTCTTTTTCAATATCGTCAACCATTTAACCCCTAAAACGACCCTCATGCCTTTTTAAAAGCGTTTGCTGGAGTTCTATTCCGCGAGGTGACACTAAAGGACGCGCATATAATATTTTTTCTAAGGTAACATATCGTAACGATTGGCGCATTATTATACGTTTCTGACTAAAGACAAACTCCACCCAATTCGTCACACCTTAGGTGAGATGGTGGGCGTGGGATTTGAACCCGATTTGTAAAACACGAGTGATTTTTCAAAGCTGGGTTGCTTTGCTCGTGAGAGCTAAAACGATCGCACTTGATTAGACGAATAATCGATTTATTTTTTTTCGACCATAATTTTTCTAGTATCATGATCAAACAGAACCACAGCACCCCTGACTTCAAGAAATTATCAACATTTTCACACCAAACGTTCATTTACGACTTTTTACGTCATAAAAAATTTCAAAACCAAGGCAGCAACAGCTGATATACATTTGACTCCTCATTTCTAAGAAGATGACATATTTTCCGATTACAGATTGAAGATGTCAAAGCAAAATACATGAGACCGATATAATGTCATGAATATCGCAAATAAAAACTTCATTTTGACAATTGTCTTATTTTGGAATGATTTTTGTTAAATTGTTTCCCACTCAACATAAGAAAGATTTATTTAACCCCGTGACATTTCGATTTTAGGATTGCGCTTACTTACTTAGAACAAAAATCAGGATGATTGCCATTCGAATTGTTTATTTAAATCAATTTATAAAATTGAGATATTATCTTTTTCCGAAACATATATTCTATCAACTACCTTATAATCGCTGCAAAACCGTTTATAATTTTCCAAACCTATTTATATTCAGTTGAAGAAACTTAACGTCCGGGGAAACGGATGCTTGGGAGTGGAAGGTGTTTCTCAGGTCGCATCTGTCGTTTTACAATGTGAAGTCGAAGATGTTAACATGAGAGGATGCGAACTGACAGCTGAAGCAATGGAAGGATTCAAAAACAATACTCGTGGTGCCAAGGTGAAATTGAGATTGATCTCGATTATTTATTTTCGTCTTATACTGGTGAGCCTTTTTTATTCACCAATTGTAGGCAGGGGCGGACACTTCCCATATTTGGGGGCTGAACTTGCATTGTCAACCAAGAATCATGGTGTCGTGTTGATACATTGTTACGTCACAATATTCTTCTGTCATTCTCTTACAATTTTACTGTTCAAATATCCGGTACCACGGGACCTATACCCCTTTGCATGGAAACGATCCCTTGAATTTCGACAGAATAACCTACTGCTCTTGCTGGCGTACAGAAACGTCAAATTAGAGGAGTCTTATTTGGCCATTGTTTCAATATTAATTTTGCATCAAGCGACGCCGACGCCGTTTCCTAGACAGAGGATTATCAAAGAAGAAAATAACATATTCTATGCATTTTTCGCTAAATTTAGGGGTAGAAATATTATTCTGACCGGCATTTTGACTCAAAATAGCATTCACGATTCACGCGATGCCGACTTTGCATAGTTTTTATTCGATGCAAAAATAACACAGACAAGATAAAAAAAAAGTAAACTATCGTCTTCATGAAAATCCGCATTCCTGAGCCAGTGAAGATAATATTGTTAACCTTTTTAAAATTCGGACGGTTAGTTCACAAACGCTGATAATAAAGATCAAACAAACGCAAAACATAAAAATCGGAATAAAAGTAGTTGAGTTCTGAATTCCCTTCATAATAATTGTCTTAAACATACGTCACCGATGTGGACTCTTATTCTGCCAGAAATATAAAAACCAAACTTCGACATCCGCCGTTGCGTGAGAATTAGTACTTGTGTAAGAAAAAGAAAATGGTGGAAAAGCTAGCTTACAAACATTAGGATGGCTAACGTTCTGGACTCCTGTTATTTATTTAAAATATTCGGTAATCGATAGAAATATTTGAATTATTCGGGTTGATGAAAATATTTGATTTTCTCCACCCTAGCTATCTTTAATCACGCCGGTATTCCAGTGAAACGCATGGTCGTTGTAGCTCTTGATGAAATTTAATAGGACCTTTATTAAATTTAGTAAATTGCACCCAATAAAATGCATGGTGGAGTCGGCGATCATTTTACATCTTGAGCACTAAAACAGTTGTATTTTTGGTCATTTCTGTGGTCTGAAAAACCTATTTTAATCAGTGTTTCGATGTCTTTCGCGAAAAATAAACGTTACGATGTAGTAAAGTCGATGATCTTTACCATCAAATTATACTCGGACTCTGCAAGGTGTCCGCCCTTGATTGTAAGTAAGCGCGATAGAATAGCAGTTGAAGTGGTGGGACTAAACTGTGTGGCCAACGAGATTACACATCTCTGGTTTAATCCAATTTTTATTATCTCAAACAGGGTGAAAAATGCGCAGACAAAGCCGAATTTGGAAAATCCCGTTTCTTCCTAAAATAGTTGCCTTTAAATATCGTTAGATATCATTGGCTGCTTATACATGGCTTTGTTCGTAGAGAAAGGTTTAAATAGGTGTCCTATGGAAATCTCTATTGTGGTCTTTACAGAATTCCCGTCACAGGTATCTTAGTTACAAAATAACAATGTAAAACCCAAACTACGCCCATCTATAGCGATTTTATAGTTACGTATCGTTGCGATAACCTCACACTTATTTACGAAATTCTGACTGTCAGAAATTCACAAAGCATTGCATTAGTTTGCTAGGCATTGTGCGCAATTGAACCTTCACCATGAGCATACAACCCGTCGTGTAAGAAGAAGCAATCAAAATACATCGAGAAATATATCAAAAGATAGCGGATAAACACATGAATTCGTCGCAAACGATGAATTTCATTATCTGAAAACAAAATCTTAAACTATTTGAAGAGAAATTCCAGAGGCCGTGATAATGTAACGTATATCACAAATAAATTTCAACTATTTTGAGGATGATCCCAAAGTATGTGTACCAAGACGGCACACAACCTGAACATAGCATCAGTACCAGGTCAGGGTTAGCAGGTTGTGCGCCATTCGATAAGAATACTACGGGAACACCATTTTGAGAGCTGTAATGTTTCGGGAAGTTTGGATTTCTAACTTGCTACGCCAACATAGTTGAGCCCATGAAATTATGAAATCAACATTTCGAATTAATTATTTTTGTTATTCCTAACCGCTAGGTCATCCACACCGACAAAGTTTGATACTAAGAAAGTACCGTATATCAATTTCGACAGTAACATATGGTAACGATTAGCGCATATTTATACGTTTCTGACTAAAGACAAACTCTCTAAGTGTTTCATTTGTACGAAAGGCATTATTCTCCGCAATCAAAAATTCAGAATAAACAAAGAACCAAATGAACAGTACAACCGTAATTCTGAATACGAACCATGCTACTTTCACTCCGCCTTACTTATCATCCGACCAAAGTTACCGGTACCCTCTGTGACGTTTATCGTCTTCATGGAATAGGAAATAAGACATTCAAATAGTTTAATGAGATGGGTGCACCTTCTTGGCTCTCACTAGTTATTCTACCTTGGGTTCTGTTTTGGATAATGCAACTCTCATATCGTGTTTCCCGTCCATTCTGTTTCAACATTTTGTTATAATAGCGAGTAACGTAGGAAAAGCTACTGCACGTTCGTAAGTTGTTGCAAATGGAATGAGCATGTTCAGTGCCATTTTACCGACATCGTGATAGAACGGTGCCACTGTGGTTTTTCTTTCTTCCAGAACTCATCAAAGCAAAACCGAGTTTTACACACCAATCTTTATATCTAAATTTATTTTTTACGGCAGGGAGGGGGGGGGGGCATTTTCAAATTATTCCGAGAAAATGTACAATCAGCTGCACACGGCTTCCATAAACAGTACGCTCTGATTTACGGTACTTGCCACGTTCAAGAACGTTGGTTACGTAATAATGCCTTCGGTAGAGCGTGTCGTGCTTTGGATAAACACTGTAAAAGCATGACATCAAAATCATGATTTGAATACCTGGTGCAACTAAAAAATCATTGTCCACTGGAAATGTAGGCAATGGCGTGATCGTGATTACTGTTTCATAAGCTGTTGCATGTGTAATACCGATTTCGAACTACGAGGGGGAACAGAAATATTTGCGTCTCCGCATGTTATGCGCACTCCAAAAATCACGATTAACCAAAATTGAGAAATACTAATCGAATATTACGCTATACGAAAACGGTAAGAACATCCCTGATCACTGAGTTTTAAATATATATTCATGAGATAAAAAATATCGTAAATTATTTGCAACAGTGACTTTAAAAAATAACAACGCAAAATACTAGAGGTTGTGGCAATATCACGATTATCGAAAATTTTGAAATGTAACTTCATTTTAATAATTGTCATGCCTTTATATTTTATCAGGAGTAGCATGATACTACTGGCATATTCATTTCATCCTGACTACGGTGAAATATTACAAAGGGCTAAGTTGTTTTTTTAAAGGGCACATGCACGTCTTACCCGCGTCTTTCGCTTCTAACAAGGTTCTGTAAAAGCAGCTACTGACATCCAACAATATGTGAGAATATGCGACCGTGTGTCCAAAAACTTGTAGAAATCAACCTTGAATGTTATTGCGTCTGATCTTTCATTATAATTTGATCGTTTCCTTGTGTTCCTTTCCAACAAAATAATAACACAACCATTATTATAGCTAAAATAGTTACCGAGAAAATCACAATTGTATTTGCGGAATTTGCAAATTTAACACTTCACTCGACGATTTGATGACGTCACTCCCTTATTATTACTGCATAAAAGCTTCGAACAGCAGAGAATGTAATATTTGTCGACCGCAATTGGCGCAGTAAATCGTAAACAAATCCATGTGTGTCGTCACAAGGACATTCACGAATGGTTTTACGTTCTATTCTTATTTACATTTTTATCACCCAACCACAATGCGTGGTACAAGGAAATCTTTTTCTGAAAACATGAATGAAATGGATCACTAAAATTACATGCTAAGCCAATACAGGGTCATTATAACTGAGTTATCTGCCGTCATTCTTATCTGGGTTACAAGTTATTCATACCAGCTTTTCGGAGGTCAGAATCAACATTTTCAAAGCGTTGCTATTTATACGTCGGACAGTTTCTGGCGATGCAATAGCGTTTCATTGCTTGTGTTTACTACAGACCATTGAAGGTTGCAATTCTTGGCGGGCCGAACATATTTTTTCACGAAAATTGAAAAATCGAACGGGTGACTGATAAATCACATTTTTTACTAAGATCATAAGTTGAAACTCTATACTTTAAATAGCGAGCGAACATTACAAGACTCAAGTCGTCTTACTAGGACAAAAATGAAATTTAATGTGACACTTCTTGTTGCATTACGCTTGATAAATCTTTGACATCAAGTGACACATTTGATGAAGCCTAGATTAGAACATTTTTTCAATTGTCATCACTAATAGTTCGGTGCTTGTTCTTTGTAATGTTCATTTTCAAAATAATTGTTCCCACGCATATGTGATTCTAAACATGGATGTAAATTTTTTCGCATGGTTTGTCAAATTTGGATAGAGATTTCCTTCAAAAAGATACTTTTTATACAAATCAAATATTCACACATCTCTCGAATAGAAAATGGATTTTATTTCCTCATTGCGTAGGATCTTAAGAAACTCTATTTAAATATTTTCTGTAACCGTTTCCACGTTAGCATCAAACGGAGCGCTAAACAGACTGAACTCGTTTACAAGAGAACGAAAGTCACCGAAGCAGGAGGAAAAATCGTTTTGGAACTCCCGTATTACAGAAAAAAAAACATTATAATTACATTCATAATTCCACTCCACATATCATTCCACTCCGTGTCCAATAATGTGATCCTCGAACGTAGAAAAAATTAAATTAATATTGAAATCCGCAGCCCTCAAATTTGAATAATCGCGGGCCGGATTATTTTACTCCGCGGGCCGTGGTTCAAAGAGTTGGGTTCAACTGTGTTGCCATTATACGTCTCTTTTATAAATCTTCCATCATCTCACCCAGGGTGAAAAAATGCGCAGACAAAGCCGAATTGGAAAGATTCCGTTGCATCCTAGAGTATTGAAATTCACACATCGTTAGATATCAGTGGCTGCTTGTCACATAAATTCGTTCGCAGCGGAAGGTTCAAAAAAGCATTGTATAAAAGCATTTTTTGTACAAGTTTTTTTTATTTTTCTAGTGCGCCGAAAGCAAAAAAAGTTTGAGAACCACTGCTCTAATCGCTAGGTCATCGATGCCGAGAAATATTAATACTAGAAAAGTCTATCAATTTTTGACGTAACATATCGTAACGATTGGCACATATTTATACGTTTTTGATTAAAGACAAACTCTTCAATCTTTTTAGAGAGACAAAAATCTACCCAATTCGTCACACCTGGGCGTGGGATTTGAACCCGATTTGTAAAACTCGCGTGATTTTGTAAAGCTGGGTTGCTTTGCTTGTGAGAGCTAAAACTATCTGCAATATGATTAGATGAATAATCAATTTGTTTTTTTCGACCATAATTTTTCTAGTCGTATCATGATTAGGGCTGGGCATTTTCGAATACCTGATGATTTCAGAATCGAATCGAATAATTTTTTCGAATCGAATCGAATCTCGAATACTTGAAAAGTATGAAATTGTATGTAACTTTCTTATTATTTTAGGTCCTCCAGACACATAAATTACTGGAAACATATAATACATTCCTGACAATGAAAAAACACGTTTTCATCAATACCTCAATACAGAAAAGAGTCATATGTCAGAATTGTGTTGAAAAAATATGGCTTCAAAGAAAAAAAAATTTAAAAATTTACCTCCACCATTGGCGGAAAGAGTAAAACAAGATGGCGGCGACTCGAAAATTTGCTCTCAACCGATTCGAATAATTTACTATTCGATTCGAATATTCGATTCGAAATGCCCAGCCCTAATCATGATCAAACGGAACCACAGCCCTCTGACTTCAAGAAATTATCAACATTTTCACACCAAACGTTCATTTACGACTTTTTACGTCATAAAAAATTTCCAAACCAAGGCTTTTATCCAGCAACAACTGATATGCATTTGACTTCTTATTTCTAAGAAGATGACATATTTTCCGGTTGGATCCGAATTTCACTTACAGATTGAAGATATCAAAGCAAAATACAAGAGACCGAGATAATGTCATGATTATCACAAATAAAAACTTCATTTTGACAATTGTCCTATTTTGGAATAATTTTTGTCCCCCACTCAACACAAGAACGGTTTATTTAACCCTTTGACCATTTTGATTTTACGGATGCGCTTACTTAATTCGAACAAACACCAGGATGATTGCCATTCGAATTGTTTATTTAAAACAATTTATAAAATTGAAAAAATTGAGTTATCTCTTTTTCCGAAACATATATTCTATCAACTACCCCATAATCGCTGCAAAACTAATCATAAATTTCCAAACTTATTTATATTCAGTTGAAGAAACTTGACGTCGGTTTGAACGACACATTGAGAGTGGAAGGTGTCGCTCAGTTCGCATCTGTCGTTTTACAATGTGAAGTGGAAGATGTTAACATGAGCGACTGCAGACTGACAGCTGAAGCAATGGAAGGATTCAAAAACAATACTCGTGGTGCCAAGGTGAAATTAAGATTTATCTCGATTATTTATTTTCGTCTTATACTGATGAGCCTTTTTTATTCACCAATTGTAGGCAGGGGCGGACACTTCCCATAATTTGGGGGCCGAACTTGCATTGTCAATCAAGAATCATACCACTGTCACGCCAGCCAAATATCTAATTTATATTCCCGAATTTCATATTTTAGTGTTTCCGCGTCAAATGAAATGTACCTACTACGTAAACTAATAGTTTGGGGATCACGCTATGGGTGGATTTATATTTAGATGCTGATTTGGAAATAATACTGCAACTTATTATAATATAAAAGAGGAAAGATAGAATATTTGAAGTCTTACATTCAAACTTTATGAGGTTCGAATATTGGCAATTTTCTAGACATATGTCATTAAGATAATCGAATTATTCAGAGTTTTATGGAATCGGGGGCAAGAATTAAAAAATATACCATTGGGTGAAGAACTAATATAAGTCCTTATGGTACTCCTGAAGTATGCGCACCAAGACCTGAATCGCACAACCTGAACAATAACCTGGCCCACTATCTGAGTTCAGGTTGTGCGCCATCTTGGTGCGCATACTTCAGGAGGTCCGAACTTATTTTAATGAAAACAATTGTGTGACATCCAACGAGTTTTTGAACTTTTTGGGGTTCGAAAATGTTAAATTAGGCTGAAATTTATTTAAAAAAAAAAAGAATCATATCGAATCTTTCCGATTTCTGGGAAAACATTTGAATATACCATTGTTTAGTTAGAGAACTGATACAAGAACATATTACAACAAAAAATTTTGATGCTTCCCTGCGATTTTTCGAACTTTTCTGGGTTCGTATATTGAAAATAAAAAAAAAAATAAAATTTTGGTAAGATAACCGATTTTTTTGAACTTTTCCGGTCTCGGGGGCAAAAATATGAATTTACCAATGAATAGAGGACTAACATAAGAACTAAACGCAACAAAGAAATTTTGGTGCTTTCCTGCGATTTTTTTTAACTTTTTTCGGTTCGAATATTGGGCATTGTAAAAAAATTGAAAATTTTGGTAAGATAACCGATTTTTTTGAACTTTTCCGGTCTTGGGGCAAAAATATGAATTTACCAATGAATAGAGGACTAACATGAGAACTCAATGCAACAAAGAAAATTTGGTGCTTCCCTGCGATTTTTCAAACTTTTTTGGGTTCGAATATTGGGCATTGTAAAAAAATTGAAAACTTCGGTAAGATAACCAATTTTTTTGAACTTTTCTGGTCTTGGGGGCAAAAATATGAATTTACCAATGAATGGAGGACTGACATGAGAACTCAACGCAATAAAAAAATTTTGGTGCTTCCCTGCGATTTTCTGAACTTTTTTTGGTTCTAATATTGGGAAGTGTAAAAAAAATGAAAATTTTGGTAAGATAACCAATTTTTTTGAACTTTTCCGGTCTCGGGGGCAAAAATATGAATTTACCAATGAATAGAGGACTAACATGAGAACTCAACGCAACAAAGAAATTTTGGTGCTTCCCTGCGATTTTTTGGGTTCGAATATTGGTGATTGTGAAAAAAAATAAAAATTTTGGTAAGATAACCGATTTTTTTAAACTTTTTCGGTCCCGGGGGCAAAAATATGAATTTACCAATGAATAGAGGACTAACATGAGAACTCAACGCAACAAAGAAATTTTGGTGCTTCCTTGCGATTTTATGAACTTTTTTGGGTTCTAATATTGAGAATTGTAAAAAAATGAAAATTTTGGTAAGATAACCGATTTTTTTAAACTTTTCCGGTCTCGGGGGCAAAAAAAAGAATTCACCAATGAATAGAGGACTAACATGAAAACTCAATGCAACAAAGAAATTTTGGTGTTTTCCTGCGATTTTTTTGCTTTTATTTCGTCAACACAACCTTAGATTGAAATGATCACAAATAAATTAATATTAAAGCAAGGCAATGGATATTTTTTTTTTGATTTACTAATATACTAATTATTACTTATCGATTTTAATCGGTAAGTATGTTGAGGTATTTGTTTGTCTGTCTGTCTGTTAGATGCACGCGATATCTCACGGAAGCGAGATTGAATCTGCTCCAGATTTTGCATGTGCATTTATCATATGTCGTACCAGAAGCCTATCGATTTTGGATGACTTATGTCGTATAATTAGCGAGTTATTAATTAATTAGTGATGGGATGCAAGGTTTCACTATGGGGTAAGAGCGCTGTTTTGGGGGATCCCCTAACTTTCGATCGATAAGTCTTCGGTCTCTGACCGATGTTCTCGTTATATTTTTCATAAGTACTAAATCAAGTTGTACAACGGCGATAACAAATTCGCAAGATCGCAAATAATTTATATCAAAACTAATATGAGAATATCGGTCAGAGACCGAACAGACAGACAAATACTTACCGATTGAAATCGATAAGTAATAACCGGGCAATATATTCTCACATTATTATGTTCGCAGATTGCCGTGGCATTTAAAAGAAGTAATGCTTTCATCTTGCCATAAGTCAACGCAACCGCGAGTGACCATGAACACAATTAAATTAAAATAGGAATACATTTTAAATTCTTGTCGTTGTCAAGAATTGGATATTACCTGGTATTACCAAAAAAGGTTGGGAAACGCTGCATTAACGTGTCCAATGGAAACAAAACGATGCATAGGTCCACTTCGTGTCAACTAATAAACATCAATGTGGACAGGATATTCCCAATATTCGAATCCAAAAACGTTCGAAAAGTCGCCGGTAATCACCAAATATTTTTGTTGCGTTGAGTTCTCATATTAGTCCCTCTATTCATTGGTAAATTCATATTTTTGCCCCCGGAACCGGAAAAGTTTAAAAAAATCGGTTATCTTATCAAAATTTTCAATTTTTTTCACAATTTCCAATATTCGTAATTTCTGGTGAAACATACTTATTATCCAATTATTCAGTATAAGCTCATATGTCCCAATCTTGAGATTAAAGCAAATTTCCTGTAACAAGCAGTGGGCACATTTGATACATTTAAAATTCTATCTTCATCTGTGTTAACTTCACTACAGACAATAACAGGATTTGGCGGGGTCGACAACACGAAATCAATAGCGCGGGATGAAAATTTCAAAATGCGACACTGGCCCGCGCTGGCATACAGAAATCAAGGTACTTGAGCATGACAGACACATGTGTGACATCACAATGATCACCAAAATACGCGTGAAACATAGGAGAATTTTAGACAAGCGTTAATAAAATGACATATGAAAATATGAGCCGCGCTTCAAAAACGGAATGTTGCATCTGCGCGAGAATGAGATTTACTGCGCAAATGTTCTGATGGTACTGCACAATTGTGAGGGAACCTTGATGTCAATGCTGTATATTTGGGATAAATAGTCCATATTGTAAAGAATATTCAACGATCCACAATTTATTGATTTTCCTACAAGCCTCAATTACCTGTATTCCTAGGCCTAGTCCAATAGTTATCCTCATGCGGTTCATTTGTAATTGCAATTAATATTTGTGATATATACTGGATAAATGTACTAACTTATAATTATACAAAGTGTGATTACTATTCTCTCTGCTACACGAAATGCATTCATTGCAAAGTGCTTAGGATATATAAAAATGATAAAAGAACCAGTTGTACAAGAAAAAGCGATCGGTTCAATGAAGAGAAATGTCAATGATAGCTATGTCCGTGCTCGAGTACTAAATTATTCTAGAATGGCACTGAAAACACATTTCGAATATCGTTCAAACATAATTAACTGAGCCAAAGCTATACTGTATGCGTGGGTTTTTGAATAACTTTATTTCGCACCATATGTATGGCCCGCATATGGCCCGCGTCATGGTTGGGATTTTCCCACAAAAAACTAAAATAGTACGATGTCAACTATTAATAAGTTTTATCGTGTCATTTATCATCAAGAGGACGGTGCGACAAACTGTAAAAAGTGAGGCAAAGAAATTTTCCCCTGTTTTTCCACTTTACCACGTTCATGTTTTTTTTTATTCTATGGTTATAATTCAATTGTAAATTAGGGATGGGACGAGTCCTGCATTACAGAGATTCGACGAATCCGAGTAATAGGTCAAAGACTCGAATGTAACCTTTCGAGTCTGTGACGTCACACTGGAAAAGCAGAAAAACACGTTTTTGACCAAACGTGGGTCATTGTGCGCCTTGCTTGTGGATTGCATTTCCAGCCCACCACCTACCGTTAATTCTAGGCGGCTACTTCAAAATTCTTACATGTCAATATAAAAAAAAAAGCTTTTGACTTCAATGCTTCCCCATAATTCCAGATACTTCTAGCCGTAAACTTACTATGTCGCGTGCGCAAATGGTAGATGCCACTCATCAATACAATTTGGAACATCTGCTTGCAATTATGTAGCGAATGTAAAAATTCCCAAAATCTCCACGTTTTCCATTGCTCCCTTTTTAGAGAAAAGACTGCACGTAATAAACTCGATTTAAAAGAGAGATCCCCCCTTGGGTTGATCCAAAGCATGTTTCATTTTTACGCGAATCGAAAACTCAAAAATATTGCGCTAACACATATTTTAGTGTTCACATGTATACCAAAAAGGATGGATAGTTTGGAAACAACTTGCGGCGACATCAGTGTTATAAGCGATCAATAGTTTTCAACATGCGTTCCATTATCTGGATATCTGTGGTCGTTTTTATTAGGAGTGTTTATAAAACACACGACTGACACGAAGTATACTGTTACAGATCTAACCTTAAATTTTAACCAATTAGGGTATGTTCTGAGATTTATAGAGATAAAAGTACAAAAAATAGGCGTAAATTAGTGAAAACAGAATTGACTATAGACTCGGTGAAATGACGTGGACTCGAAATCGAATCCGAGTGCAAAAAATGCGTAGATTCGACTCGAGTCCGGATTCGAAATTCGGCCCATCCCTATTATAAATACATTAATTTTAATTTGCATATTCATCGTGACGAAATAAACGAGTTTCGGTCAGTCCA